TTAATGGAACCCCTAAAGAACCTACATTCTACCCTAAACAGGTACTTTAGACCCTTTGGCACGCTCGAGGTGCTTGCCGATCGAAGCGCTCACCAAGACCGAAGTCGCCACAGTGCAGATCAGAGCTCTGCGCGTAACATTGCGGGCCTGCATGATGCAACACGTGAGGAGCAGGGGGGTTAAGGTTTAGGGACTTAGGGGTTAGGGCTTTAGGGTTTTAGGGTTTGAGGGTTTGAGGGTTTAGGGATTTAGGGCTTCAGGGTTTGGGGTACGGTTGAGCGCTACAGTCGACCCTTCGGCTTGGTCAAGTGGCATCTTGAAGCGGTTGAGGCTCCTCCAGCCCTTGCCGAAACTGTGACTGTAGATGACCCAGAGGGTTCTAAGTACCTGCATACCCGCAGACAGTAGGCTCCCTAAAAAAAAAAAAAAAAAGAAGCGATCATTCTAGAACCCTTGAAGGAACCCCATAAAAGAACCCCGGAACGCCTTACAGGAACCCTTCAGGCACGGATCCTGTGGGAGATTTGCCCTGGCATTGCCTTGCTTCGGCGGCTTCGCCACAGCATCCGAAAGAAAAAACACCTCGTGTGCAAAGAAGGAAACCATCTAAGATGCTGTTCCGGGGGCGTTCATCAAGATGTCTGAGGGTGGTGTTTTAGGGTTTAGGGTTTAGGGGTCTTGGTGGTGTTGGCGGTCTTGGCAATGACGGTGGCGGGGACGTCGGTCAAAGGGGTCCGGACTGTAAGAAGCTTTACACCGGATGAGGAGTACAGTAAAAGCCAGAAAGTTGGAATATGATTATCGTAGCCCCTTTAAGGTAAATTATAGGGGATCCTACCATGAAACCATATTCCAACTTTCTGGAGTTCCCTTTACTTCGAAAGCCTACACCCTAAACCCTGATCAAGTCAGCTTAGGAAACCTTTGAAAACCTAATGATGGCCCTGCTGCTGCTACTACTACTACTACTACTCCTCCTACCATCACCAGCCACCACCTGAGCTCACCTGGTCCTGCCAGCGTCTGGAGGTGATGTTGCAGCGCCCGGCCTTCAAGCACAAGGAGAGCAAGGGCTTAGGGTTTATGTTTGCAGGCCCCGTTGAGTGTAGCATGAAAACGATAATACAGGGGCCTTAATAATTAGGGTTTTGGCGCCCAATATACTATAACAATTTTGATAAGGAAACCCCGCAACAGCATAGGCAAAAATTTAAGCCCCTACATTAGATCATAATTTCGGGCCTTTGAGTCTCGGGTTTGAGGTTCAAGGTCCTAGAATGTCGGGTTGAAGGTTGAGGGTCTGGGAGTTTCGGTCTTAATATAAGGGCCTTAATGATTAGAATAAGGTTCTGGAGCCCCTTATGCCTTATACTATAATAATGAACCCCCAAAGCAGTGTAGGTAATTATTCAGGCCTCTATACAATAGGGTGAGTTTTGGTTCAGCGTTTTGTTGTAGGGCTTATAGGGTTTATAGGGTAACGAAGTGTCATTGTAAGTACATAGAATTCCAGGTCAAAGATTTTGCGCTCAGGGATGTGTCACTGGCAGATAGCACCATGCTGTTTTCTGCTGACTTCTCACTCGCGGCTATCTCGGCCAATCGCGTCCACCACCAAAGCTGGTTGCCCTAAACTAATCGGATCAATCCTTGATTCACCGCTCCTATGACCCTAAACCGTAAACATGTAGGATTTAGGGTGTAGACTTTACGACGTTACGGTTTTAGATTTCAATTTCAAGAGTATCCGAGTTTAGAGCATCCGCATGGCTGCTACGTGAACGGACGGAGCTACGTGCAAATCACACGCCGCAATAATCAATGAAAGTTAAAATGCTGCATTGCGGGCCGTGGCCAGTCACTGTAGCATACATGGCTATGTAGGAGAAGCAAGAACGACTGATTTCTGTGGGATTTCTCGGGTTCCGCCTTTCAGTTCCTAGCATTGTGTTCCTGGCCGGCGAAAGCAGATGAGCTGAACCTGTGGGGAAGCTCTATGCCCCCAAAACGCGCATGTTGCGCCGCGGCCAAATGCCTGTGCGCCTTGGGCCCTCACTCACTGTGCTCCGTATGTTCTGGTGTCAAACCCCTTCCTGACGTGGCGACCACGGTTTGTGCGGCCGTGGTACTTGTGGTGAAACCACCTCGGCTATTGTTCAGGAACTTCATTCGATTTGTCATAACCATATTCTTTACTGAAGGTCCCATTATGGTAACTTGAATCAAAATCCTTGTCAAAACCCAGCAACCTCGGGATGCGAGGAACGCGCTTGTGGTAGTAGCTGCCATCTCCCGCATTGTCGGTCGGCTCGCTCATGCCGTTGTCGCACTGGACGGAGACCTGAGGCACGAAATGGAACCTGTAAGAGCTTGAGGTTTAATAGTTTAGGGTTTAGGGATTATCATAACAGGAGTTCATAGCATAAGCCCTAAACCCTAAACTGCAAGGATATATAGGGCTCCTACTTTTCAGTCCCAAGGTACTGCAAAGCTCTTCTGACTGGTGCTTCCCGCCACATCAGTTGCATTGCACGTCACTTCCTAGGTGGGCCCATTGTTTACGGCTTAGGGTTCAGGGTTTAGGAGTCAGTGAATCAGTTTCGTAAAGCAGAATCCTCTTCGGCCCAACAATGAAGATGCAAAATGCCCTAAAGGCCTACCTAGCTGCTGTCTCGCCGACAGCGAACAGGGACCCGGATGAAGGACTGCAAGAAGTTGAAACACCTGTTTGGGGTTTAGTGTTTAGGGTCTAGAGGCTTAGGGGTTTACGGGTCTGCAGGCTTAGGGGTCTGAGGGATCAGGTTTTAGGGGCTGCAAGACGTTGAACCACCTGGGCAGTTGTCATCCGCTGTAGGCGCGAACGTGACGGCAGTCGGGCTGCAGGACTGCACCTGGGATCTTGCTAAATGAGACGGCTGACGAAATAAACCCTACATTACCGTAATGACCCTAAGACTAAGGGCATTATGGCATTCACCCCCTTCATAGTAAAAACACATTGGCGCGGATCCTCCCGAAATCACTCCTGCCTTTTAAAACCTAATTTGCATAGGGGGGTCCGGAGCAAGAGCAGGACCGAGAGAGCAAGAGCTGGAGTAATAGCACAAGCAAGAGTAAGAGCAAAAGCAGGAGGAAGACCAGGTGCAACAGCAAGAGCAAGCGCAGGAGCGAAAGAAAGAGACGCAGCAGGAGCAGGAGCAAGAGCCCTCAAAAGTGGCAGTAGAGATGAATACAGGATTACGCCATAATGGGGATCTAAAGTAAACAGCAGGGTTGTCCTCGCTACGGTAAATGAAACTTAGATCCTTTCGGGGCCTAAATAATTACCAATTCTATTTTGGGGGTTCCTTATGCGCCCCAAAACCCTATTCTAACTACTAAGGCCCCACATATTATAGAACTCTTATAGTACCCTTATCGACCCCTTTAAAGGAACCCTATTCCAGTTATTAAGGCCCCTATAGCACTTGACTTTAAACCCTCCTTAAAAAGGGCCGAAGTCGATGGTAGCTGAAACAGAACCCTTAAGGAACCCCTTAAAGGGACCCTATTTTCAACCCCTACAGAAACCTATAAACGGGGCCCCTATCATACAACTCTATGGTACCCTTTAAAAGAGCTCCTTTCCTTTGCATGGACCCTGATACTCTAAACTCTTAACGAACCCTTACAGAAACCATACAAGACCCCCGTAAAGGAACCCTTCTAAAAACCCCAAACCCATTCCTTTGCAAGAACCCAGGCACGTCGATGTTGGGAAGCGTGCCGATACTTGGATCCTCGAGGTCATTGACCTGGACCTGGGCTCTTTTCGAAGGTTTTGGGCTTAGGGTTTAGGGTTTAGAGTCCAGGGTTTAGGGTCAGGGTTTGGGGTTTAGAACCCAAGGTTTAGAGTTACGGTTTGAGAATAGCTTTAACAGAAAAGTCCTGCTCACATGGCTGCTTACATACATGGATACCTACATATAGTCCTTGCATGCATGCATGAAACAGATGCTACACTGCTACAGCCACTGGTACATTGGAAATGATTGTCGAGAACGGCCGAGGAACGACGAAAGATTCCGACGAGGCCTTGTTGCCAGAAGCATCCGTGGCGTTGCATGTCACTGTGGTGGTACCGACCGAGAACGTGGTGCCGGATTCTTGCGAACAAACTACCTGAACTCCTGGACAGTTGTCGGCTGCATTGGCCACATAATCCACAGCGGCTCCGCACTGTCCTGGGTCGTTTGTCACTGTCACATCATCCGGGACCGGATCGAAGACTGGATTCTCGTGGTCCCTCACTGTAACCCAGAAGCCTGTCCCCGATTGAGCCAGTCCAGCAACATCGGTCGCCGTGCAGTCAACTCTGTTGTCACCGACTGGGACCAAAGAGCCATTCGCTGGCACGCAGGACAATGTGACATCGCCTGGACAGTTGTCGATTGCGGATACGTCGTAAACCACAATGCCTTCGCAAAGTCCAGGGGATGTGGCTGTTTCCCTCATAACATCGCCCAGCGTGATGTTGGGAGCCCAGAGGTCACGGACGTTAACGTCAAATTCTGCCGAGGCAGTGCTCCCACCAGCATCGGTGGCGGTGCACGTCACCGTGGTGGTACCGACCGAAACCGTTGAGCCCGATTCTGGCGAACAGGATACCTGCACTCCTGGACAGTCGTCTGTTGCGGTGGGCACAGTGAAATTCACAACGGCTCCGCACTGTCCTGGGTCTGTGCCACATCGAAGACTGGAGGCACCGGATTCAGGTCCTGCACCCAAACACGAAGGGATTCTGATGCAGTGTTACCAGCAACATCGGTCGCCGTGCAGGTAACTGTGGTGTCACCGATAGGGAACGAAGAGCCAGATGGTGGCACGCAGGACCATGTGACATCGCCTGGACAGTTGTCGCGTACCTCGATTACATCATAAGTCCGAACGGCTGTGCATTCTCCAGGGGCTGGCCGAGCTCCGACTCCAACATCGCCTAGGATGATCTCAGGAGGCTCTGTGTCAGCACTGGGATCCGCAGGGCACGTAGCAACTCCTCCCTTTACAAGCGCTTTTGCTTGCAAGAGCGCCTGGTCGTCGGAAGTGCAGCTTGCATTCTCGAGGTGCTTCCCGGTCGAAGCACCCACCACAAAGGTAGGTGAGGGTTGCCACACAGCACGTCAGCGCTGTGCGCGTAAAGTTGCGGCCCTGCATGATGCACACGTGGGGAGGGAGAGGGGCGGTCAGGCACAGTCGAGCGCTAGAGTCGAGCCTTCGGCTTGGTCAAGTGGCATCTGGATGCATGCTGATTGACTTTTCAGCCTGTGACTGTAGATGCATGAAGACAACCCAGACGGTCCTAAGTACCCGCATACGAAGAGAAAGTAGTTCCCAACAACAGGAACAACTCTGACTTGTAAGTATACCCCAAAAGGAACCACGGATCCAGTGTAAGATGTGCCCTGCCACGCCTTGGTGGCTTCGTCGGCATGCACGGCATCCGAAAAAAACCTCGTCTGCAAACGAAAAGCATTTCTTACTAGATTGCTCCGCGGGGGTTCATCAAGATGTCTGGTGGTGGTGGTGGTGGTGGTGGTGGTGGTGGTGGTGGTGGTGGTGGTGCTGCCGCTGCTGCTGCTGTGCTGCTGCTGCTGCTGCTGCTGCTGCTGGCGGTGGTGGTCTCGCTGGTCTTGGTGGTCCAGGTGGTCTTCGTGGTGATCTCGGCAATGCTCTTGGTGGTCTTGGTGGGGGTGACGGTAAGGTCGGTGGATGCTGGCTTGTTTTGATCCTGCGCTGCGACTCCTGTGGTTCCCCTGGCTCTTCGTATTCGTCGTCCCTCTAGTCTAATCCCCCACGCACCCGCTTAGGCTTAAGGTCGCATCCTGCCACTGACACTTGTGCCCCTCTTCGTTCCTAACGCTCTCTCACCAAGAGGGTCCAGATATACTACCATTATGGAGTAAGGGCCAGAACGCGGATGGCCTTTTGGGACCATGTAGTGTATATGGACCCTCTGTGTCATATATTTATTCCTCACTAAGCGGCATTCAGGGGCTAGTCAGGAGGGGGTCTAGGTAATGATCTAGACGTCCTCATATCGCACTGCATAAGGCATATGTAATATGTAGGACCCACATGCACCCGATAACCCCAAACCCTCAGAAGCCAAAAGCTCTGAACAGATTGCCGAGCCTGAAACAACGGACCCTGAAACTAATTAATCCTAAGCCTTCAAAACGCTAAACTCCTAGGATATGGCCGGTCTCCAAACAATTTTCACAAGTTTTAGGAATTGGGGGTGTGGGTGTTCAAGGTTGGTGTATGGCTTTGCGGATTACCGGGCTTGGGCTTGGGTGTTTAGAGCTTAGGAATGTGGGGCTCTGGGCGACTGTGCTTTGGGACTTTGGGGTTAGGCTTAGGGGTCTAGGTTTAGGGTTAGAACTTCAGCTGGGCTCAGGGCTTAGAGTCTATAGGCTCTTAGGAAGCTGTAGGGTTTAAAGGGATATGTAGTACCGCCCCGTGATGAAGTCGCTCCTGCCTGATGCAACTTCGAGGACTCCGCACCAGAGAGGTCCGTCCAGACGGACCTTCCGCTTCTAATGCGCCAGCATTGCAGGCTTTGGGTGTTATTATAAGTTGTTGGGGTTGCAATGAAAGAACCATGAAAGTGATACAGCCGCAGGCCGATCCTCAACCAATGGAAACCGAGGAGCTTGCCACATCGAAAGCTCGAGAAGAGCCTGCACCCATTCTTTTGTGCCGGCTTTTGCAACGGCTCGAGTTGAGATGCTGAAATGTCCGCTGTACATGCACGTTGGCGGAAAGACATTCAGCATAAAGACCTAATGATAAATGGCCGAAACAAAATGCCTTTTGGCATTGTAGCCTACTGAGAGCTGGCCGTGAAGGATGCCTTGACATTCAGCATAAAAGCCCAATGAGAAGTGGCCGCGAAGCATGCCGTTTGGCATAACAGCTTTATGCTGAAAGCTGGCCGTGGGGGATACAGGGCATTCTATACTTCAGCTAGGCGGTGAAGTTGGAGGGTGGGGAGCTTTCGCCGGCATCGTTGTTGCCCCAGCACACCGGGACTCCACTGAGAGTGAGAGCGCATGCATGGCCAAAGTTGAACAAGCTTACTGACAGCTCGGCGTAAGGTTCATTGTTGGGCGGCAAGCCAAGAGCGGAAGCTTGCTCACCGAAGCACTGGATGCGGCTGTCTGCTGACCTAATGCCGCAGACTTTCTTGGAACCCGCGTCGACGTGCGTGAATGCAACATCTGCAGGTGGTGGTGCCCTCACATCAGAGATCTGACCATCACCATCTTGAGCACCCCAACATGTGATTATTCCGTCAGCTTGGCGTATGCCGCAGGAAGCACTCCTAAAACTGGAGATCGCCGAAAGTGCCTCATCGGGTGGCGATTGACCACTCAAACCTCCCCAGCACTGCGGCTTCCCGTCTGCTGTTCGGAGCCCACAGCTGAAGTCGGTTCCTGTCGACACTGCGCTGAAAGAGATATCAGGAGCATCGAGCTGACCCGAACTATTGTAAAGCCCCCAGCAAACGGCTTTTTGCTGAGCATTCAGAGCACAAGCGTGGAATCGGCTGACCTGGATGCTGGAAAGCGGATCTGTAGGTGCTGCGACATTTGGAGGCATAGAGCCGCCCCAACACACAGCCATGCTGCTCGATTCGACGATCCCGCAGCAATACCAACCGCAGGACAGCTCACGCAATGCGACCGTTGGCACTGTTCCGATGTTTATAGCATCTCCCCAGCACACGGGGAAGTTGTCCTGCTTCCTCAAGGCGCATGTGGAGGCAGGACCTACGGAAATTCGCGCGGTGCTGGTGGTCATGACCGGAGTCGTCGATGTCAAGGCATTGCTGGTGGTCATGGCCGGGGTGGTCGATGTCAGGGCCCCGTACTTGTGCCAGATGTGTCCCTTGTGATGGATGCCTGGCTTCTTCACTCCCCGGCCCAAAAAAAGGTTCAACTTTGTTCTATGAGATAAACCAAGTGTATACAGCCTAAAAATGTAAATGTTCTTCTATTGCCTATCTAAAATGCGGTGCCACGGCTGGCTCCAGTGCCTTCGAACTCGGCGGTACGGCCCTCGCAACTCTGACTCGCTCGCCTTTGCATCCTTTCCGGAGATGTTCGATCCATGCAAACCCAAGCAAGACCCAAAACCTTAAACTCCCAACCCAAAAACAAAACAAGATGTCAAACCCCAAACCCTAAACCCTGAAAACCCGAACGAGATACCCCTGACAACCAGGAAAAATTGGGGTCTCCGGGTAACTGGGGTCACGAAGCAACGAGATGTCTAGGTAAACAAATGGAAACAAAGCAGCACAGCGCCCTCAATGAAACGATTGATTCAAAAAACCCTTCATGACATGAAATGCCCTAATCTATGCAGCTGATGGTGTACAACCCTTCGTATGGATACTGCAGGCTCTTCTCCATCAGTAGTGCCACGTGGACTCGCCGCAAAGACTACGAAAAGCCTATAGCCATAAACCCTAACCCTATAAACCCGAGTTGAGTAGACAGCTTCATGCCCAAGTATCGAAACCTGTTCCCAGCTGGAGCGTGCTGAAGCTGTCGCAGGTGTCTGGAGCCGGCGAGGCACCAGCTGCGCTTGTGGCATGGCCGAGGTCTGCCAGAAGAGTGGCTACAGTGGCTGCCAGCATCCAAGATGCCATCCCTGTCCTTTGGGAAAAGGCGGCCTCTGAAAAGTTGGGATTCAGTAAGGCGCTGGGAGCCTCTTGGAGCCCGGGCTGCGCGGTGAAGGTATAACGTCTATCAGATTAGTAGCTTGGTGTGGACGCCTACAAAAAGACGGACACAGGTGCGTTGGGTGTTAACAGTGTGAGCGAGTCTGGTAGGAACGTCGCACTCGTAGATACGCATGCTCACCACGTCCAGTGTGTTGCTCGTTAGTGATAACATAGAGTTCTGCTAGCGAATGAGCCGATGTGTCTCAAGACTTTTCGGCTCAGTTGAAGTTTGGTATCAGGGACATTGCCATAATGGCTCTCTCCGTGGTTGCCCTCGCAGGCCACTGTTTGGTGGCCGCGACTCTCGTTGAGAGCTGGTTACCATGGTGGCCGTCCTCGGGAAACCTCACAGAGTCGAGTGCGTCGCCTTCGGACGATCCGTCCACGGGCGAACCGCCCAATGGGCACTCTTTCTCCGGAACTATGTCAGTTTGGTGGAGTGAATGGAATTTCAAGGTTCTCTTCGGATTTCTCGAGCGCGCCCATGTTCTCCACTCCCGACCAGCTGGGAACGTTGGGAACAGACGGTGGTTGGGCCCTTTACTTCCTGGACAAAGCTGGTGTGCTCTGTTTCGGGCGGTTCTGGCCGGTGGCAGGGTGGACGACCCTGGTGATCCTCCTGACCTTGCTGGTCACCGCCTTAGCCTGGTCTCTCCGAACCTGCGAGCGGTGCCTCTGCTGCGGCTTTTGCTGCTGCAAACGAAGCCACGGACCTCGAGGAGCAGGAGTGGATCCAGCTCTTCGGCATCTTCCGGAAACCCCAGCACCGCAAGCTTATGCTACCGTTTCGTTGGTTGGTCCGGGTGGTTCCGCCCCTGTTGACACCGAGTACTACCAGAGACAAGTTCGGGGCAGGGGAGCAGGACGTAGACCTCACGATCTAGTCCTCCGTTTCGAGCAAGGTGCGGTCCGGCTTCAACCTGATAGGTCGCAGAGAACTCGGGTGGACCGGCATGGCCTGTGGATCAAGCCGGGCAGAATCCTGGGTGTTACCGCCCGGATGGGGAGTTCCACTGCAAGGCGTACGCTGCCATCGATGCCGATGCAGTCATCGATCTGGGAGCATATGGGCGCCTTAACAGTTGGAGAGTCCTGGTCCTCTGCT